ACAATAGAATGATCAAGAGATTCATTTGTTGCGGCTTGCTCGACGGTGTTAGCGGCTCCCGAGCTTGGCTCATCACGATTCTCCGTGCCCTCTGCTACAGAAGGACCAGGGATCTGAACGTTAAAATCTTCCGGTGAATCTAGACTATCGACATGGTTGATCCCCGTTGATGAGGAAGCGAGCATGAGGCCAAGGCCACCACTGAGTGAATCAATTGGCAAAAAGGGTGTTACGGACGACGAGGTTCCAGCACCAGGACTGGCCCTCAACGACCTCTCGAATTCATCCCAATCAAACGCCTTTCGCTCCAGCTCATAAGGAGGCATATGCAATAGGTCTGCCACATCGGGTGAGTAATGACTCAACCCTTCGGGCGACGCGCTGAGCATCACCATCGAATGTTGATTCGTTACAGAAAAGGACGTTGACGGAGGAGTTATGAGAGTAGGAGGTGGACTTCTACTGCTTGATGGTGGGGTGGCGGACATCGCATACGATATCACAAAGTGCTCCAGCATCTCGCCCGGCTGAGGACTGTTCCCCTCTTCCCTGGATTCACGTCGCCCGTTAGCAGTTGATGTCGCAGGTGTTCTGACCTCAGGGGTAAGACAATCCAAAACAGCATCCGTGATCTCAGTGGCGTCTTCGAGATCAAGCTTCCTTATCAACGGCGCGTTCTGGAGTAATTTGATCAGGCCGTCATCGTGGACTTCACCCCCGACACCGGCCAACTCCAGAAACTCGAGTTTGGGCACACTGTATGCCAGCACACTGCAGGCACCACCCCCAATATGCCTACATCCACTGAGGTTCAGGTGACGCAGTCCGGTGATCCTCCTCCAATATTTAGTCGGGTCTCCCGGATCAAAGCCAGCCTCGCGGGAAGTTATTTCGATACCCTGGCTAAACCTGGTCCAGTCCTCCGGCTGCCTGAGACCAGAGCGGATCTCGGGCGAGGGGGTTGGCCATTCGACAAGGGCACGGAAGCCTTCATCGGCCAAGTCTTTACAGTAGGACGCGTCTAGTACCTCAAGGAGTGGGAACGCCTCACCAACGAGACGCATAACATCAGCCGTCGTCCCCTTCATATTGGCAATTTTCAGCGTCTTGAGACGGCAGGATATATCGGTTTCGACGGCGCGTTCCTTGCATTGTTCCGCAAAGGACATCAGGCCAGTGCCATTCGCGTTAGAACACCGCCTGATATCGAGCGTGAGGAGATTACGGCAACGTGGACCAACAATCTCGGTTAAAGTAGTGTTTGTGACAGAGTCCAAACCACGTAGGAAAAGATGCTTGACTCGTGGTGATCTTAATAGCAAATAATGAAGTGAATGAGTCGTGATGGATGTACAGCCGACCAAGTTGATGGTCGTGAGTTGAGTTGTTGATGATGCAGACAGATGATTCTGGTTAAATTGTGGGTTGATAGAAAAGTATGAAGAGATGTGGATAACAGATGATGACTTGAGATGAGTGTATCCTTGCAAGCTTAGAGTGTGTACAAATGATCCTGCACGTCGCGCAATCTTCAGTAAAAAGGTATTAGAGAGACCGGGGAACGCTTTGAGGTCGACAGAGTGCCACAATTGGCCGTCAAGGGTGATGTTCTCCCAAGACTTGCTCACCTAGGAGTAACCCCATCAGCTTCGTTATTAACACGTTTAATGAGCAACTTACCCTCGTCAACTTTATCAACTCCCTCATTCCGGCATCCTTGCCAACCCATCGGGTACCTTTGGCATGAGCCACGCTCCATTTGCCTTCCTTGACCTTCTGTTCAAATTCCTCCTGATGAGAAATCACGAGCTGTCCCATGACCAATAACTTGGTTTCTTGAGGCAACATGGTTTCAAATAGAGAAACCACTTCGAGTGGCTTGATGGTCGGTGGCTCGGCCAAGACATTGTCTTCGACCTCTCCAGGCCGAGGTTGTGCAGCATTGAGAATAGCTTCAGGAGTGACAACAAACGGGAATGTGACAGGTGCAGTATGGGCCCTTCCCTTGTCCTTGTACAACCTCCTCCTTTGAGAAGAACCGTGCGTTGTCCTCCCACCCTCCCCATC